GGGGACGGCGCAGGGGTTTGGAGATGGTGTGGATTCTAGGGGACGGCGCAGGGGTTTGAGGGATGGTGTGGGTTCTAGGGGACGGCACAGGGGTTTGGGGATGGCGTGGGTTCTAGAGGACGGCGCAGGGGTTTGAGGGATGGCGTGAGTTTAGGGGACGGCGTGGGTTCCTGTTCCCCAACAAGGGTGAGAAGCAGTCCCAGGAGCCACCAGAGGCCTTGTCTTGCTGCTGATTGGCAGACGTGGCCAGGATGGCCACACCTGACACAGACCAGACTCGCCCCAGGGCTGGGTGAGAGTCACTGTCCTTAGCAGCATTGTGGGTCTCAAAGTATGGAAGAAGTGGGTGCTGGATAGGCAAACCAGCCACTCTGAGCCTGGGAGCCCACGCAGGAGACAGCCACAGGTGACATAAAGAACTTTGTCAGGGTGGAGAGCCAGGTGTTCCCATGTGGCCATGGGGAAGAGCGGTGGGAGGGACATGTGAGGATCACGCAGGCAGGACCCCAACACCATGAGGGTGGGGTGGCCTGAGGCATGAAACTGGACCTCCCTTGAGAGAAATTTAAGCCCCAACACATTTGCACCACTTCAGAAAACAGAGGAGCCATGGAAGTTCAGAAAGGGGCCCTGCCAGGCACATTCCTGTGTATCTCCATGGCCAGTGCTGGGTAGGGCCACAGGGATGCAGTCTATGGGTTCGAGGCTCAGAGTCCCTTCTGTGTGGATGGGAAGGGACTCTGCACGGTGGATGCACGGTGTGTGTTCACTTTGAGAACCATCCCCAAAGTCAGACCGCAGCCGCTGCACCAGCCGCTGGGGTTCGATGGCTGCCCCCAGAGCCTCGGTGACCCCGTCCTTTGTGCCCACACCTAAACCTGCACAGAACGATTGAGAGGCATGGGTGAGTTAGATGGAAGAAAATTGGGGGAGCGGGGAAGGGGAGATCCAGAATGAAAGCCAGAAGTGCAGGAGGAAGGATGTGTGGAGCAGCAAGTCACCTCCTTCAGGGCTCCTGGAGCCCCTGCTTGTCCAGGCTGCCTGGTGAGACCCTGGGGTGTCCTTGGCAGGTGCCAGCCTCCCCCCGACCCCCATCACAATCCGCAGCATCCCCCACCACCACGTCGTTCTGCACTGACTGATCTGGCCGGGTCCTGTGTTCACACTGGCCCTGTCTGGTCCCTCCCTGTGAGGCCAGCCCCAGCTCCAGCCCATAGTGACCACCCCGTTAGCCTCGGCCAGGCCGCACTCCTCTCCGTGGCTTGTGGGGGTCCCCTGGGGTCGGGGCTGTGATTGCCTGTGGCCTCCCTGCAGGGCCATGACTCCCTGACACAGACACAGCGTGGCCAGCTGCAGAGCCGCAGGGCCCGGATTTACCAGCAGATCGACAAGGAGCTGCAGATGCGGACGGGTGCTGAGAACCTCTACAGGTGGGTGCTCAAGGCCCCCGGGCCCCGAGCAGAGCCCACCTGGGTGAGGGTGGCAGAGCAGCCACCCAGGCAGGTGTCTATCCCACAGTGGGTCACAGAGGCCTCCATGGGCCTCTGTGCTGGGCTGGAGGGGCCAGGGAACCGGTGTCCCCCTGGGTGTGCAGCATGGGAGCCCCCAGCAGTGCACATGGGGGCTTCTCAGAAGAGGCATGGTTGAGGCTGAGCTGTGGCAGGTGATGTCACATCCCAAGGTTGGGGACTTGGGAAGGGGTGGAAGACCCGCTTCTCTTCCTTGGAGCACGCCACCTGTGAGCCTCGCCTATGTGTGAGTGCCCCTCAGTGCCTGCTGCCTCCCTGCCCCCATCCTGGCCTTCCTTGGGGACCCCTGGTCCCTTTGCCAGGTCCTGATGCAGGCACAGAGAGGGGTCTGGCTCTTGCCCACCATCCAAGGAAGTTGTGTTTGAGTGCTGTGGAGGGCTGTATGAGCCCCAAAGAAAGCTGGGGCGCTGAGGGAAGTGCCCCCAGGCTGGAGTCAGGACATGCAGGGGCTGGGGTCAGGGATGATGAATTGTAGGAGGCATCACCTGTGAGCCCCCGGATCCTGCTGCGCCTCTGCCCCACCCATGGGGGGCGGACCCCGCCAGCAACATCCCTCTGTGGGGTGAGCTCTGACAGGTAGCTGGCCGGAAGGCTGCAGTGGGCATGGGGCCTTTGGCTCTGCCCTGGGGCTGGGCTTTCAACTGCCCGGCCTCCCTCAGAGCCACCAGCAACAGCCGGGTGAGAGAGACGGTCGCCCTGGAGTTGAGCTACGTTAACTCCCACCTGCAGCTGCTGAAGGAGGAGCTGGAGGAGCTCAGTGGCAGCGTGGACTCTGGCCGGCATGGGAGGTGCGGATGGGGCCAGGACCGCGAGTGTGCGTGCACTTCGGGAGCGGTTTAGGACAGTGGAGGGGGACTTGCAGGTGCCCCTGCCCCTCAGGAGCGGTTTAGGATGGTGGGGGGTACGCAGCCCCCCCCAGGAGCTGCAAAAACACCCCCCAGGGCAGATGCACGTGTGGATCCTGAGGGAGGGATGCACACCGTGCCGCAGAGCCCTGGGAGTGGACCCGGGCTGCCGAGGCCAGCAGGGCTCGGCCTTACAGTCTGGAATCAATGCTTCTGGTTGTAGCGAAGCTGTCACTGTCCCCATGATACCCCTGGGCCTGAAGGAGACCAAGGAGCTGGACTGGTCTACACCGCTGAAGGTACGCACTGACCTGCAAGCTCTAAGGGGCACGGCCCTGCCCTGGGATCCAGGAGATCTTGGAAGCTTCCTGGTCCAGCCGTCTCATCGAACAGATAGGGAAACTGAGGCCCAGAGGAAGGGTGAAAGGGATACCAGGGACCTGGCATACATGGCCAGGGACCCAGCCTCTGCTGCGTTCATGGACCACAGTGGTGCCTGTGCCCCAGGCCAGGGCTGATCCCATAGAGAGGGTGCGAACACATGCCCTGCCCTCAGACGGGCAATGCCCTGGGACCATGGGGCCTGGAAACCCAAGAAGGGGCACGGGACCCAGGCTCGCCCATGGAGGCCACCATTGGCTCAGGGCCACACGCCTAGCACTGGCCCACGAGGGCCTTGGAAAGGGCTCAGACCCCAAAACAGACTGGCACTGCCTGTCAGGGGCCTGTGGGAGCCACTGACTGTTCAGCATGCGAGTCACTGAGTGGCAGACGGGTCCTGGCCTCCGAGCCACAGGGATGAATAAGGAAATGCGCATAAAAGTGGCGCTGAGTCTCCAGGCTCCACTTCTGTGATGGGCTGGGGGAGCCCCAGGGCCAGAGGGGCTCTGACCCGCATCAGCCCACAGAGTCCATCCGGACACATTGGCCCCCAGCCCTTCTCTGGGGCTTCTGAGGGGCCAGGGCCCAGGGCCCCATCCTACATGGCAGCCGGCCTGCTCTGCAACATGGACCCTCCCTCCACCATGAGTCTTTCCCCAAGGTGGGCTGGGAGACCCCAGGGAAGGAGGCCAGGCACAGGGCGGACGCCAACACCTGCCCCCCATCAGGAGCTGATCTCGGTGCACTTCGGAGAGGACGGCACCTCCTATGAAGCAGAAATCAGGGAGCTGGAGGCCCTTCGGCAGGTGTGTGGTTCCCCGCCTGCCCTCCTGCAGCCCCGGGAGACACAAGCAGAGGCTGAGGACAGGCCTCAGTCAGGAACAGAAGGCAGAGCTCAGTGTGGATGTCTCAGGGACGTGGGAGACACAGCCGGGGGGCGTGGAGGGGCCTGCAGGTGGCTCCCATGCCGCACGCTGCTGGCCTTCGGGAGTTGTGGCTGCCTAGGGCCCCGCTGGCTTTGCCTCCCCACCCCCTGTGGTGCTGATGCCCACAGGGGCTCCCCAGAGTGGTGTGTGAGTGGGGTGGGCCGGGCGGTGGGGCCCAGTGGCTCCTGCCCCGCAGGCCATGCAGACTCCCAGCCGGAACGAGGCGGGCCTGGAGCTGCTCACCACCTACTACCACCAGCTGTGCCTCCTGGATGCGCGCTTCCTCACCCCCGCCAGGAGCCTCGGGCTCTTCTTCCAGTGGTAGGGACTGCAGGCAGTGGTGCCCTGGGGAGGGGAGGCCTGGCTGCCACGCCATGGGAACTCCACCCAGCCTGACCCCGCACTGCAGGTATGACTCGCTCACTGGGGTCCCGGCCCAGCAGCGTGCCCTGGCCTTCGAGAAGGGCAGCGTGCTTTTCAACATTGGTGCCCTACACACACAGATCGGGGCGCGCCAGGACCGCACCTGCGTCGAGGGTGTCCACTGCGCCGTGGAGGCCTTCCAGAGGGCCGCTGGTGAGGGCAGCCTGGGCCGCGGTGGGGCAGGGTTCAGTGCCAGGGTACCACAGAGCCCCTTCTGCGGGCCAGGAGCTGGGGGTGGCTAGGACGTCAGTTCCTCAGGTAAGGGGGCTGAGTGAGCACATTGGGCCCACCTTGTCCCTGGACCAGCCCTGGCTGGCCACCCTGAGTGCCACGTGGGGCAGAGAGAGGCAGGTGCAGGGCCTGCGTGTGAGCACCCTCCCTCACTCTGTCCGCAGGGGCCTTCAGCCTCCTGAGGGAGAACTTCTCACATGCGCCAAGCCCAGACATGAATGCCGCGTCCCTCTGCGCCCTGGAGCAGCTCATGATGGCCCAGGCCCAGGAATGTGTGTTTGAGGGCCTCTTGCCACCTGCCTCCATGGCTCCCTGCGACTGCCTGGCCCAGCTGCACCTGGCGCAGGAGGCTGCCCAGGTGAGCTCACAGCACCCTTGTCAGGGTGCAGGGGGTGGGGCCGAGTTGGGGTCAGAGCTGGGGTCCAGGCAGGCGTGAGATCTGCCTCGCTTCTGTGGGGCTGGAGCCTCTGCTCAAGGGGACGGCATGAGGCAGCAGGAACTGGGGTGCCGGAGAGGCTGCTGGGGTGTTGGTCAGAGCAGGTGGAGGCCAGTGGGCAGAGGCAGCCACCACCCGGAGAGCAGGAGGCCCTCGAGTGCCCGCCATGTCCACGGCAGGTGGCAGCCGAGTACAGGCTCGTGCACCGGACCATGGCCCAGCCCCCTGTCCACGACTACGTGCCCGCCTCCTGGATCACCCTGGTGCACGTCAAGGCTGAGTACTTCTGCTCCCTGGCCCACTACCACATAGCCATGGCCCTCTGCGACAGCTCCCGTGAGTGCCTCCCCCGCCTGCCTGTGGTGCTGCAGAGGCCCCTGCCTGGGCCTCATGGCCTCTCTGTCCCCCAGCAGCGACCGAGGGAGAGCTCCCCGCACACGAGCAGGTCTTCCTCCAGCCCCCCGCCTCCTCTGAGCCCCGAGGCCCCGCACTGCCACTGGAGCTGGAGGAGCGCAGGAAGCTTGGTAAGGCATCTGTGCATGGAGTGCCCTGGGGGCTCAGGTGGCCACCAATAGCAGCAGCGCATCCCACACCGCCCTCATGCTCTTTGCCACCTGCCGTCCCATGCGGATGGGGAGGCCGCCGACCTATCCCTGGATGCCCTGTGCCTGATGGGTGGCGGCCCAGCACAGGAGCCCCAGGCAGCCATGAGCAGGTGGGCCACCACTGGGAGCAGCTCGCCCATCCCTGGCCCCCTCTTTGCACCTGGCAGAGCCCTCCAGCACAGCCAGCCCCTCGCCCCATGGCTCAGGCCCACAGTGAACGTGGCTGTGATGAGCCCTGCAGCCCTGGCCTTGCCCACTCCTCCTGCCAAGCCCTGGGGCCCTCGGGCCCACATGGTGTGTGACAGCGCTGTGCCCGGTGCAGGCAAGGCGCACCTGAAGCGCGCCATCCTGGGGCAGGAGGAGGCGCTGCGGCTGCACACGCTGTGCCGTGTCCTGCGGGAGGTGGACCTGCTGCGGGCCGTGGTCGCCCAGGCGCTGCAGCGTTCACTGGCCAAGTACTCAGAACTCGACTGCGAGGATGACTTCTGCGAGACGGCTGAGGCCCCCGACATCCGGCGTGAGCAGCCAGGGCCTGTCTGGGCGGCTGCATCCCCGGCTGGGGTGGGGGCTTTCACCCTGGAGAAAAGGAGGCTGATTGCATTAAAGACGCGGTCACCACAGTGAATTAAATCACAGTGGCACTTTCCAGGCGGTGATCTCGAGGGCCCGAAGAGCTGCCTGGCCCTGCAGGGGACCAGGGGCCAACCATGCTCCCTAGCATCTCCCTCCCCACCCCAGCCTCTGCCCTGAGGGGAAGCCCACAGGCCCGGGCAGGCATGGCTGACTCCAGGGAGGGCTTCTGGAGCCACTTGGGCAGGGAGATCGTGTGTTCAGGGCACCTGGCGCGCTCCTCCCAGCATTGCAGAGTGGCCAGGCCTAGAGGTCAGAGGCAGGGCCTGTGTCTGCTCGAGGTCATGCCCTGTGGCCTGGCAAATTCCAGGGGCTGGTGCCCACAGGCTTCCAGCTTAGCTCTGCTCTTCTTTCCGCCCTCTCAGCTAAGACCCGCCAGAAGCCAGAGGCCAGGATGCCGCACCTGTCCCAGGGGAAGGGGCCTGACATCTTCCATCGGCTGGTGAGCACACCTGTCCCCAGGTGCCCTCCAGCACTGGCAGCTTGGGCTACGTGCCTCTGACCAGCACGTGGCCTCAGGCCCTTGTTGGTGGTCCAGGTCTGCCTGGCCTGCCTCGTGGAACCCTCGGTGTCCCTCGGTGCTCAGGTTGGGCGGGGGTGCTGGCCAGGCAGGGTCTCCTCTGACCTCTGAGCCCCGCCAGGGGCCCCTGTCTGTGTTCTCAGCCAAGAACCGGTGGCGGCTGGTGGGCCCCATCCACCTGACCCGAGGAGAGGGCGGCTTCGGTCTCACACTTCGGGGAGACTCGCCTGTCCTCATTGCTGCCGTCATTCCGGGGGGCCAGGCTGCGGTAAGGGCCCCTCCGGTCCCTGAGGTGGAGTCCCTGGTGCCCGCCAGGGTATGATGTCCCCGTCTCACTGTCCAAGTCTCCCCGCAGGCGGCAGGCCTGAAGGAGGGTGACTACATCGTGGCGGTGAACGGGCAGCCGTGCCGCTGGTGGAGGCACGCGGAGGTGGTGGCGGAGCTGAGGGCTTCGGGAGACGCAGGTGCCAGCCTGCAGGTGGTGTCGCTGCTGCCCGGCTCTGGCCTGCCCTGCCTGGTGAGCCCCAGGGCCCTGAGGAGCAGTCCCCAGCCTGCTGTCCCCACCCTGCTGTCCCCACCCTGGCCCTGGGCCTGCCCCGGATGCTTGAGCAGCATTAGGAAGGGGAGGCAGGGAGACAGGCAACCCTCCCCTGGGGGGCTCCTGGGTAGGGGCCACCTGTACTTTGGCCTCCACCTGGGGGCACTGCTCTGCCCCGAGGGTGCTGCAGCTCACTCCTCCCTCAGCCTCTGTATCCTCAGGCTGGAGGCTTCTGGGTCTGGCGCTCCATCCCAGAGCATGGCTGACCCAGGGCCGGGTGAAACCCATGGGCCCCTGCTATGTGGCTGTCCTGATGGGAGCCCCCAAACAGTTTCATGATGTGCCGGCCCCACCCAGGGGGTCCTCGCCTCCTCCCAGACTGGCTGCAGGTAGGGACGGGCGGCAGTGGCTGACTGCAGTCTCTGTCCCTGCTGTAGGGGGACCGCCGGCCCGCCCTGCTGGGCCCCAAGGGGCTTCTGAGGAGCCAGAGGGAGCATGGTTGCAAGACCCCGGCATGCACAAGGGCCAGCCCCCGGCCCCTCCTCGGCTGGAGCCGAAAGACCCAACAGGGCAAGACTGGAGGCTGCTCACAGCCCGGCGCCCCAGCGAAGGCGGCTCCACCCTCACCCTCGGAGCTCCCAGGGCAGCTGTGAGGGCACGGCTCCCCACACACCCCAGCTCTGGCTCCAGCTGGTGGGAAGCATCAAGCACTCCCCCACCCAGAGGGCCTGCAGGCAGTGCCTGCTTTGCCCCGTGCCGGAGGTTGCCCCAGGCACCTTCCTGCCCATTAAAGACGATGGTCAGACCTGTCTGAGCCCAGTGACGGGAGCCGTGGCCACTTCACCCATACACAGGAAGGGTGCCAGTCCCTCTGCCGATCTGAGGTCAGCTTTCTGGGGCTGACCTGCCCTGGGGGCTCCTCACAGCCTCCCCTCTGTACCCCCAGGCTCTGTCCACCTGCTGCTGCCCTGGGCACAGACCCTGAGGTGTCAGTCCTGCCTCCAGCCAAGCTTCTGCCTGGTGCACAGCGACTACTGCTGGTCACCCCTTTGCTCCCTGCTCCTCTGCCATGCAGCAGCCAAGTGTGTCCATGGCACCCACAGACCTCTAGGCAGGGTCCCAGCCAAGGCCTCCCCCGAAATACCTCCCGTTGTCCCGTCTGTGTACAGAGCAGGGGACCCCCGACCTCTGTGCTCTGTGCTGATTAACCCAGCAAGTGTCCCCTTTGCCAAGAGTCCCTGGTGTCAGGGCCCAGGTCTCATGGCAGCCCTCAGCTGCCAGACCTGCTGCCCGCCCTGCTGTCCTGCTCTTAGCATGGGTGCCACCCTCAGCTCCTGGGCATGTCACCTCTCCCTGATCCTGGGGCCAGCACAGGCCCCCAGCCTGCCTGGCTCCTCTTGCTGGCCTCCACGGGCTGTGAGTTCTCAGTGTCTCAAGCAGGGGAAGTGGGGACTGCCCCCAGGCCTCTGTACACTGGGTGGACAAAGGTCATCAGCAGGAATGCCACCCCCAGGACAGCAGTGGGCTCAGGCCTGGGCTCCCAGAGGGAGGGGATGGGAAAGGCTGCAGGGCAGGGCAGGCCTGAGCTGCACCCAAGAGAAGCCACAGAGCAGGGCCCCAGGGCCCAGCAGGTTCCAGAAGAGACAGGGCTGGCGGGAGTCATTCCTGAAGCCACCAGGGGGCAGCCGCCACCCACTTAGCCCCGAGAGGCAGCACGGGCAGGTGCAGCTTGGGAGGGCCAAGCCGCAGACCCTGGGTGGCAAGGTAGCCCCCAGCACTACAAGACCCCTGCCTGCTCGTCCAGGCCCTTCCAAGGGTCCTCCAGGTGGGAGCAGCCCGCCCTGTGTGCCAGGCTTCAATTCCAGGACAGGACCCTGCACTGCCACCTCCCTTGTGCTTCAGCCAGGAAAATGGGGTGCCAGTGGGGTGTGGGGAGGACCCAGAGACACAGACGCCACGGTGCCATCTTCCTGGGCAGGAGGGTGGGGCTCCCCAGCCTGCCTGAGCCAAGGTGGGGGTCCAGGTGTATCCCTTTCCCTCCCCTGCCCTCCTGGGAAAATCCCTGTCTCAGCAGAATGGTCCAAGGTCATGAAGGTCTTCCCAGTATGTATTAATTTGATTAATAAAACTGCGTCGAGGAGGCCATTAGGCGCTAATTGGGGGTGACAGCATGGCAGCCCTGTCTGGGAGGTGCAGGGATTCCCCATCTCCTGTGGCCTGTCCAGACCCAAGGTGGGGCCAAAGCTGCCCCCTGCCTCCTGCAAGGTAGGTGCTGGGCCACCACAGGCTGGCAGAGGGGGCTCTACCTACCTCAGACCCTTGGGGTGCGCCCCACCCATCCAGCCCCTGCCCATACACGCCTCTTCCCTGGCTGCCACCAAGGCTGGGCCTGTGCTCCTGGCCCTTCTCCACCCCAGGCCGTCCCGTCCCCTGATGCCCCTCATGGGTCTCCCTTGGGACTGGCTGTTGTCATCCTGTCCCTTGGCAGAAAGCCAGGGGCCTCACAGTTGGAGTCACACGTGGTTGGGACTGGCTCCCGTCACCATCTCTGTCCGTCTGTGAAGTGGGGGAAGCCCGGGGCATGGGGGTGCTGTGGGGATGCAGGAGGCCCTGAGGCCCCACTGCCTGCTGTGGGGGAGGGGAGATGCGGGAGGCCCTGAGGTCCTGCTGCCCCCTGGGGAGAGAGGGCAAAGGTCTTGGGGTCTGGGGCCTAGAGCTGTAGTCAAGGCAGGGCTGGACGGGGGTCCTCCTCCCCGCCTTCCACTTGGGACTGCTCCTAGGGCAGCAGTGAGCCCCTCTCCAGAACTTTCCGTTCTGAACCATGCCACTCCAGCCACTGTGGGAGTCCTGCCAGACAGCCCCTGGGCTGTGGGAAGGGACCATGCCCCTTCCTCACTCTCGCAGCAGCTGGTGGCTGATTGCTGGACGCCCTGGGTGGACTGCCCAGTCCAGCCCCCCGAGGACTCCAAGTCCACACAGGCAGCTACAGGAGGGGGCGTCAGTCACCACGGCTCTAAGAGACCTGGGGACCGGTCAAAGGCATGATGCCAGGCCTGGCAGAACCTGCAGCTACATCCCCGTGGCCAACTGTGGCCTGTGCCCCTCCAGGGGGCAGCAGGCCCTGGGGCCAGCACACAGGGGGCACCTGTGCTGAACCTGCCCTAGCAGGAGGCAGCAGCTCAGGGTCCCGTCCCACCTGCCCAGGTTGGGAGCAAGCTGGATCAGGGTGGGGCTTTGAGGCTGGGGGAAGGCAGGGCTGACTGCTGGGAAGCACTTGGTCCGAAGGCTGTGCCTCCCAGTGGGTACAGCTGTCCCCACAGATGCATGTGTTGGTGCTCTTCTGCCCCTCTGTACCTCGACTGTGCCCTGTGGAGCCCGTTCTCCTCCCCTGAGGTTCTGCTTGCTCGTTCTTGGGCATCGCTGGCCAGCGCCATGTTGGCCTTTAGGGGTTGGTTAGTGTCCCTTCCTTGGACGGCCTGGCTCGGCCACACCCTTTGCATGGCTTTAGCCCCGCCTTCTGGCCCAGCCATGTCACTTGGGTCACTGTGTCACACATGGGTCAAGGGCAGGGACGGCACCAATCCATGAGAGCACAGACGGGACGGCGTGGGGCAGTGTTGCCAGGGAGGGCGGGGCCCGCGTCCAGGAGCTGCTGAGGCCATGGCGTGAACCTGCCTCGATCCCCATGCCCGGACAGAGCCAGGGCCCATGACGGATGAGGGGCAGCACAGGGATAGATGGCGCCTGGGACCGCATGTGCGCAGGGACGGCGTGTGCATCCTGCCCGGGCGCTGGGTCCCTCGCAGCAATACTTCATTTCCAGAGTGGTCCCCAGGCAGGCAGCTGAGCTGAGCCTGCCGTGCCATCCTTTCTGCTTTGCCAACAGAAAACTGCGGAGAAGGGAGAAAGCCGACTCCGTTTTGCTTGGATCAGCAGTGAGCAGGATTAACGCAGGGAGAGGAGTTGCGAGGGGCGGGGGCGGGGGCTTGGGGATGGACAGGGCTGGGGGTGGGGTTGCGGGTGGCTGGGCTGGGGATAGACTGAGGTGAGCCCAGGGCAGGGTCCCCAGTCCGCTCTCCTCACCCCCTCCCCGCCCCTGCTGCCACCTCAAGCCAGCGGTTCTGGAAGAGGAGGGACTGCAGACTTCCGGCAAGTGTTGGGGTCAGGCCCCGTCCAGCACCCCCGTCCCGCCGCACCCTCCCACATCCCCGAGCACTGTTTTCCCTGTTCCCAAGGGCGGTGGTCAGGATCTGTGCCTGTTCAAGGTGGGCCAGGTGGCCGGTGGGCTGGCGAGACTACAGCTGTCCTCCAGCACAGATGGCACCCTCGGACCATCTGTGACCGGAGGGCTTGATCATGGAGGGGAGCCAGCGGAATGCAGGGACTGGGGTGCCCCGCAAAGCTCCAGATGGAAACCTGCTCCACGGGCTTCAGACCCCCAGGCCAAGGGGGCAAGTGGGCAGCCGAGAGGACCCTGAGGAGAAGAGGGGGTGGGCCCAGACCCAGCGAGGCCTCAAGCCAGGGTGACGGAGGTGGCACTGGGGCTCTCGCCACCTAGATGGTGCTGTTGTCCACGGGAGAGTTGACAGGGGCCAGGTCAGGCCAGGGTTAGCAGACGAGCTCAGAGGTTGAGCTTCACCTCTGCTTCCCAGCACTAGGACAGATGCTGACGGCCTGGGGACAAGTCCTTAGCCACCTCCAGGTTACTCACGCCTGAGCTGTGGCCACTCTAACCCTCCCAGTGTGAGAAAGGAAGAGATGGGACTCCAAAGCCGCAACCCCACCACCCTGCCCACCATTGCCCAGGTCACAGCCTAACCACCCCTCTCACCACCCCTGAGGTCACATACACACCACCATCCCCCCCCCCCCCCCCC